GACACAAATGAACTTATTTACAAAACAGAAACAGACTCACAGACATAGAAAACAAACTTATGGTTACCAGTGTGGGAAAGGGGGTGGGAAAGGATAAATTGGGAGTTCGAGATTTGCAGATACAAACTACTATGTATAAAATAGATAAACAAGTTTCTACCGTATAGCACAGGGACCTATATTCAATATCTTGTAGTAACCTATAATGAAAAAGAATATGAAAACGAATATATGTATGTATGTGTATGACTGAAACATGATGTTGTACATCAGAAATTGACACACATTATAAACTGAGTATACTTCAATAAAAAAATAAATAAAAGTTAAATAAATAAAATACAATGAATAGAAGCTTAAAGCACAAACACTCCATCAGCCAGCTGTGCTGGAAGTGTGGGTACCGACCGTGAAACCTGTCCTGCTGGTACCCCAGTCACCTGTACATGCCAATCACAAGCCAAGGCAGCGCCCAGAAGGAAGCTTTTATCAGGCAACTGCCTCCCTCTCTCAAGGCTTTGGGCTGATGAATTCTTCCAGATAGTGATGCTGTTCTGCTGCTTGGAGGAAATACTGCTGGAAGAAGGAACAGAGGAAGCAAACACAGGAAGGGAGGGTGACAGGAACATCACTTGAAGACCTCAGGTCGGCGGCAGGAGAAAAAGGAGTCTTTCCTGCTGTGTAGATTCCTCTTGCAAATAAATCAGCATTCCGTGCGTGGAGAATTAGAGGAGGGTAGAAACTGGGTCGTCAGTTAGCATCTGCTAGAGTTGAATATTTGGCCTTGAAGCTTAGGATACAAACTGTAACCAGATTTATGATGAGATGGGATTCATCTTCAAAAGAGGATGTGAATTAAGAGAATAAGGACAAGAAGGAAAATGGGGGGAGCTCTGTGCTTTAAGGTCAGAGAGAAAGCAAAGGAGGCGGAAAATGGGGCATGGAGCATTCAGAGTCACAGGTTAGGGGCTGTTAAAATGTCTGTGTTGAAGTGAGGTGTTCTAGTGTCCTCACAGTGGCCTGGTGGCCCGCCGGGGTTCTGGAGATGGCATGAGGGACACCAGAATGAGAATTTCACGTAGTACAAGTGAGTCTCTGGGGAAGAGAGTAAGGACCCAGCAGGTGAGAACCCTGCAAAGGGGGGAATGAAGGGATCCGGGTGAAGGAGGGCAAGTCCTGTTACAGAGTGTCGACAGACAGGCACCGAGAGGGAGGTTATAAGGGTGGTCAGCAGCCCCAAACAAGGTCAAGTCCAAGGGAAATGGAGCCCCAGAAGCTTGGGTTTTCATCAGGACAAACCTGGATTTGAATCTCAGTTGCATCACTTACTGGCTGGATGTCAACCATAAGTGACGGAAGTTAGACATAAGCAAAAACCGATCACGAATGGTCATGATACTGAGAGCTTTCCGCTTACTGAGATCTTTACAGACGCAATCTCCTCATCTCACTTAACCCTGCTAAGGCTTCTCACTCGGGGGATTTTACTATCCCAGTTGTACAGGAAAGGAACGTGAGGTTCCTCAGGGTGATGCATTTGCTGTCCTCGCCGGCAGGGAAGTAGCTGGGAGGCGGGGCCAAGCCCAAAGCCCGTGCTCCTCACTGCTCTGCGGGACTGACTCCTCCCTCGAACGGAGCATGCTGGCTTCGGGGCCCACAGCCTGGGGATTCCGTCTGGCCTCAGCCCGTTCCCTCATTGTGATGGTGTCACCATGGGACCTCTGTGCCTTTCCATCGCATCCTCCCTCCATGTGACATCTGCTGGGACTCTCCAAGACTTAAAGTGGAGAAGATGAAACGGGAGCTGGAAACTTCTGCTCTCTGAGCACCAAGCCCTGCTTCCAGGCCACCAGGGACCCACGCCTATCCCTCGCCCCTAGACTTCCTGTTTTTAGCTACAACGTCTGCAGTCTACCAGCGTCAAGCTCATCCCTGGGGCATCCCCCGTCTGCAAGTCACCACTTGTGTTCCTGGTTATCCTGAGCTGCCGTCTTCAGAACTGTTCAGAGTAAGAAGCCCATCTCAAGGGGCTCTGACCCCTAAATGTCTGATGAGTGTGTCTGTCGACCACCCTGTTTCCTTCCCGCTCAGTGGCCTCTTGGACCCTCTCCACGTGCACGGACACTGGAGTACTGGATCCTTGAGGAGTTCTTTAAAATCTCAGAAACCAGCATTTGGGAGCTAGGCTTTGTGGACCATGCCACCCCTCCTCCCCTCCATGTTTGCTCTCACCTGACACTTACTGGATCTCCGTTTGATATGAGGTGCAGCATAGGTTAGAGCCAGGACGCTCGCCGGTTCAGGATACAGGCAGGTGTGTAGCAAAGTGAGCAGGAGTGCAGGACAGTGATGGGAGGACATGGAGGCATGAGCCAGTCAGAAAATCAGGGTGAAAGGTCACGGGGTGGGAAAGCAGAACAGACGGGCTTTTGCTGGTGGCTGGACGCATGCCTCCCAGCATTGCCCCAGGCGATCCTCTAACAGAGAGACGCAGTGGGGGCACACGCCCCTCACTCCGTAGCTGTGGTCCACGGAGGCGACGCGTGATCACCGCCTTGTGGTGGGAATATAAATGGGCAGTTCTGGAAGGGTCTCCTCCGGACAGGCTCTTTTCCTGTGGGTGGGAGAAGCATGGTGGGGCAGGAGTGGGCTGGCTCCTGGGAGCAGGAGCTGGGGGGCGGCAGGGATGGGGGTGGGGGGTTGCAGCTGTGCCAGGACCAGGTCTTGTGCCCAGGGCAGCCGTGCAGGGTGAGATAGCAGCTCGGGGGATGCATCCGGATTGGAGGGTTCTCATGCAACACTGCAGTGTAGCAAGTGAAGGACTGTGGTTCGAGGCTGTAACCCTCTAAGCCTCACTTTCTGTTCGTGAGAAGCTAGAATGGTGCCTGCTCCTGGTGGCGCTTGGGGACGATGACATCTCCGGCCACACCAGGTGCTCCACATGGGCTGTGTCCCTCCTCTCCCGTTGCCAGGATTCGTCGTGCTGGTGTCACCACTAATACACACTTCCATGATACTGTGTCTGCATTTCATGATAGAACCTCAGTCGCCCATAACCTTCCCTCTCCCCGACCTTCCTTCCACACACAGGTTTGACCCTCCCTTGGGCACTTGCCACCGTCAGCCCTACTGTAGAGCAAGGCACCCACCCAGCTCATCGCCCCTGCCAAAAAATCACGTCCCTAAAGGCAGGGTCTTATCCTGCCCTTCCTGGAACCTGCACTCTGGAACGTGACTGCTCTTTGGATAGACACCACCACTTAGACTCAAAAGTGCGTTTGTGATTACACGGGCAGGATTCTCTCCTGTGATTGGCAGTCACGTGGAAGAGTGGTAGCACGTGCTGGAATTTCTGCTTCAACTGCTTCCCCTAAACCAGCTCCGTCTTTGCCATCACCCTCCACTACTGCTGCCACACAACTACAAACAGTGACGGGGCCGTGTAACACCAGAACCTCCACCTGTCGTCACCTACTGGTTTTTTTGTTAAATAGCCCAGATGCTTTAGTTTGGTTTCCTGACCCCAAGATGTACAAAGATGCTCCTACTGTGTCTTTGTGAGCTGACTGCGGAGGAAAAAAATACGATTACATTGTAAAAGACCATGTGATAGAATTTAAACATGATGACTGATAGCATCCTCTGCACCAGAAAAAAAAAAGGTAGAAAGACCAAGGGAAGATATTCAAATCCTATTTTATACATGCAACGCCTCATGCTGTGTGAATACAACATAATTCCACATAGAGTTTGTCAATATAGTTAATACCTGGAATTTGAAGTTGATCAGGAGGGGATAAGATTTTATTTGCTCTTTAAAATTAAAGCTAAAAATTAAAGCTAAGCTTTTAATTCTTTGCCTTTAAAAAGCTTGTGATGCCTGGTGGGATCAGGTGCAGCAGGTGATGCCTCCTTCCTGCCATGAGAAGTCCACCAGCTCTCAGGGCTGGGAACTGAAGCCCCCACACTGAGTCCAGCTCCCTGCAGTTAGCACCACCCCCCTCCCCGAGTGCTGTGAAGAGTCTGCCTCAGCACCCAGCACCCAGCACCCAGCCCAGTGTCAGGGGGCCTGCTGAGCGCTGCCCGGGACAGGCACACCTGTCCTGCCCGGCATCTCACCTGATTCAGCACCTGAAGTCTCCTCTCGCCCCCTCCCACAGTTCTCACCTGGCAGTCCCTCCGGAGCCCCCACCTTTCCCAAACTGAGCTTAAAGGAAGAAGTGAAATAGTGAACCAAAGCCAAGAATGTGGGAATTCTTTTCATTCGCTTTTTTCCTCTCGCTTTTGCTCCCCTTGGAGCGTACGCTCTAGGACTTGATTTTCAGGGTGGGGTGGGTAATTAGGGATGGAATGTTCTGCAGTGTGTGTGTGTGAATCTAAGGTGTCACAGTAGACAGTCACAGACTTCAGGGGACATCAGTTGTGGGTATGGAACACTGGCTCCTCCTGGTTCATTCTGGGCACATAAGAAGTCAGTACTGCAGGGCCTCTGTATTAGTGGTAACTGGTTTAAAAAAACAACAGACTATAAACCTGTGTTTGCCACTCTGCTTCCACCGTGCATCCTACTAACAAGCCTCACCCACTGAATCCAGAGAGTTTTAACTCCACATCTGATTCCTTTCCTCTTTCCCTACCTCTTTTGTCTTTTTCCTTTTCTTTAAAAAAAGAATATTTTGTGTGTTATTAACAGGAATTCCTATTTGGTGTGGCTTAACTGTATTTCAGAAGGTCATCAGACTGTGAGACTGCTTCCATGAAACATTTTTGTGCCACTGTTTAAAAAAATTTTGACATTAATAAAAATGTGAATGTGGGGGGGGGTACTCTTAGAGAGTAGACATCAGGCCATTTATCCCTTAGAAAAATGAGAACTGCTGGTGGGAAGCTCCCGAGTTAACCCATGCTAATAGAAACCCTTCTTTGCCTGGTTATTTCCTACCATGTGACTGTTATTCATGCATCAGTATTGTGATCTCTTGTCAATTTCTCATCTCCAGGTAAAAACTGGGACCTGACGGCCGCTTTGAGTGACTATGAGCAGCTCCGACAGGTGCACACAGCCAACCTGCCACCTGTGTTCAATGAGGGCAGGTGCCCCAAGCAGCCGGAGCGAGAGCCGCCCCCTCCCGGGCACACGGCGGACCGGCCCTGCCTGCCCCGGCAGGAGGACATCGCCCAAGGTACCGGCCGAGGGACCCCCACCCCGCCAGGCACCAGCTCCCTGGCCAGCACACCGTGGCTCACAAGGGGACTGGGGTCGGGGAGCAGAGAATGGCCAGGTCACAGCCTCCCAGCTGCAGACAGAGCAGTGTCTCCATGCACCATGCCTCTTACTAAGTGGAACTGTCCTCTGCAGCTTCCATTCCTGGTTCAGAAAAACAGGAGAGTGAGTCGACTTCCCTAGGCCCCCATGTGCCTCCTGGACGCCTGGTTTTTCCAGACCAAACCTCTCTGGTCCCTTCAATTATTCCCCAAGTAGCACAGCCTCCAAACCTGTTTCACACTGGTGTTCATCATTCTGTAACCTCTGTTTTCTCTATCCCTTTTCTTAATTACAGAAGTAAGAAAAGCTCATTGTAACACAGGAAGCAATACAAAGATATATAAAGAAAACGTAAGGGGGTGGAAGTATAGCTTAGCCATAGAGCTCTTGTGGCAGGAGGTCCTGGGTTCAATCCTCAGTGCCTCCATTAAGGGAAAAACAAAAATAAAAATAAATCATGAAATGCATATTTATCTTTAAAAAAAAAAGTGAGAATTTTCTTCTCCACACCTCGCAGGTCACAGGGAGACCAGCCAGTGTTTGCATCCTGTTCCGTCTCTTCCTACTTTGCTTGTTCAAAATGCAAACACGTCAGAGCCCATTGCACATAATGCCCTTTGCAAAGTGCTTGTTTCCTTCAGCGTACTCTCCTAATATTTTATTCCACAGCATGTGATCATTTTTAAACCATGCCTATATTCCCAGTGATTCTGTTTTTTCTTGGATTTTGGTGGTGGTGGTGTTTTTTGACACTGCAAGCGATGCTAAAATGAACTCTATACCTGCAGTTCATACATACTAGGGCTTTTATTTCTATAGGTTAGCTTTTCCAAAGTGGATTTTCTGTGCCAGCATGTGAATTTTTAATTTAATAACTTCAGGACTTCTTTCCCAAACACATATCTGTTCACCATGTGTGAAACAGGGTGTTCCCCCCTCATTCTTGCCAGGACTGGATATTCTCACAATGATTTTACATTGTTTTTCTACTCTGAAGGTTAAGAAGAAAATAGTGTATTTTAACTTTCATCTTGTCATTTGCTTGGTAGCCAGTTAGATCTCCCCTTGTGATGTGCCTGTTCACATACTTTGCCCATTTTTCTATTGATTTGTTTGCATTTTTCTTATCAATTTGTAGCATTCTTAATAATTAAGACAAACATATATTACCTTTGTATATGAGGTATATTAATATAAAGTATATTAATATCTCCTATTGCATTAGATCAAACTTCCCAACCTGTATCTCCCACTATATCATTTGCCTTACAACTGTTCACAGAATATTCTGCCACACAAAATGTTTACATTCCTATGCTTTCATGGCTAAGAGTGGCCTCTCTTGGCTCTCCAGGATCTCCTGAAATTCAAAGTTATCGACATACTTTCCTACATTTTGGGGCTATATTGTTAGGTGCATATGTAGTCATATTTGTTAAGTCATCTGGCTCTAATGCTCTTTGTTACCAATATATAGAGAGTCTCTGTCCCACATAATTGTGTATCTTTAAATCTGTTTTAGTTGATGTTAAACCTCTACCCTGCCTTTCTGTTGGTTCATATTTGCCTGGAATAGCATTTTCATCTGTTATTTCAATGCTTCTTTATCCTTCTGTATCTAATGTGATTCTTGTAAGTAGTTTATCATCAGGTATTATTTTATTATCCAATCCAAGAGTCTCTGTCTTTTAAGCAGTGAATTCAATCCACTTATTTTACTTTTATGATAGTCCTGTCTGTTCTTCATGTTATGTGATTTCTTTGCCACACTTTTTTGTATGTATCTTTCTCCTATTCTATCTTTTCTGCCTAATTTAATTTTTCAATTGGTTTGAAAGTTATCCATTCTACTTATGTTATAGTTACCCCCGTTCTATTACAACCTATATTTAGGTTTCTCTCTGTTAATTTTTAAAACTTATCCACAACTATATTTTATCCTGAAAAAAAAAAAGACATGTATCTCTGTTTTCATCTTCTCCCTTCCTGCCTCCTGGGCTCTCAACCATATTTAGGCTCTTTTTGCTTGTTTAGACAACAGTTAACTTTGTTTACTCACATTTAACTTTTGCTGAAAGACTGCTTCCTCAAAGACTATTTTCTAAAAGAATTATTGCATGATCAGTCTCCTAGGACCTCAAGTAACTAAAGGTGTTTACATGACATACTTAAATTTCTGTTTGGTGAGAATTCTAGGTTCAGATTACCTTCCTTGAATGTTCTGAAACCATTCCATCCCCCCATTGGCTTCTCGCATCTCATGTTCATGCCTTCTAAGAGGATTCCTTGACTTGATCTTCTAACATTCTAATTTATTTTTCACATGAATCCATTCTGTTAATCAGCATTCACATTTTTCATTCCAAATAAGCTCTTTCTCATTATTATTATTTCACATTCTGGCATTCGCTTTATCTCTTTGAACACATTTGCTAGGCTTATTTTAAAAGCTTGTCCTCCTGGTGCATTCCAGCACAAGTACTTTGTGGACTTTCTGTAACAGTGTTTGCCTTGCTCAGACATTTCCTAAGTTTTCCCCCGAGCACACAGCACCTTGCAGTCAGCAGCATCTCAGCTCATGGTATCGGGAAAGGGACAAAGGCATGAGCTCTGGTTGGCATGGAGCTTGGGGAGATGTGCACTCAAGTTGGTGAGCGTTGAATGCTTTGATTTGGGCTCAGAATGCTCCCCACTTGCTCCCTTCCCTATGGTAGCTTTTCTCCTTAGGGGACCTCCCAGACCCTGTGTTCTAGAAATTTTTCATTTCCAGGAGTTGCCACCTTCTGTTGTGACTGGCAAGCTCACAGGGGGTATAAGAAAGAAGAGGAGAGGCGGGCCTGGCCAGCCCACCTGTTCCTGTGTGGTTGGTACCTGTCCCTGCTGAGCACCAGCATTGCCCTGACACTCCTCCAGCTAGCAGCAGCCAACACAGTATCTGGCCCGCACTGCAGTGGGGATGGTGTAGGCAGTGACCTGCCCAGGGCTGGGCTGGGGAGGGGAGAGGCACAGCCAGAACAGCCTCCCTCAGCCCCTCCTCGTGGAACCCAGCCCACTCCCACTCTCCGGCTCCAGTGGGCCTCCTGGGTGGGCTAGGGAGAGCTGCTGAGGCATGTCCATTGTCTTGTCCTCCTCCTTCATGTCTGCCACCAGATCTGAATCTGGAGGAACCACCTCTTCTAATCGTTTAGTTCGGTCTTCCCTTCTGGGTCTTCCGTGACTGTGTCTTCCTTCAGCACCACCAAGGACAGCCTCCTGGCATCTCCCACACAGTGGAAATCCAGACAGTTGGCAACATGGCTGTTCCTGCCCTTTGGAGTGGCAAACAATCCAAACCCTTATCTCATCCTCCCATGGAAGGGCCTAGAAGGAGCCTCCTCTCCGTTTTCAGAGAGGTTGACAGAACCAGAACCTAATAAGTGTAACTGATACCTGCTGCCATCTGATCTTTATCAGATGTTATTCAGAAAAAAACAGAGGTATTGAGCCTTGTGAACATGTATTTTTAATAAAATAGAAATTGTAGGGGGTCAGGGTAGAACTCAGTGGAAGAGCATGTGCTTAGCCTGTACAACTTCCTGGGTTCAATCCCTAGTACCTCCATTAAAAAATAAATAAATATCAAATAAATAAATAAACCTAATACACCCTCAAAAAAAGATTTTTAAAAAATTTTTTAAAAGACATTGTAGTTTCTGAATTAGATCTATATCTCCTTTCATTGGATTCTTCCTGAAATCATAGAATGGAAAATAAAGCCCTCCTGATTCTAAATCAGAGGTCAGCAATGGCTCACGAACCAAATCTGGCCACTTCCTGTTTGTCAATAAAGTTTTATTGGAGCACACTCAAACTCATCATTTACACACCATCTATGGCTGCTATAGAGCTACAGAGACAGTTGAGTAATTGTGGCTGAGATTGTATGGCCCACAAAGCCTGAAAAATTTATATCTGCCCCTTTTAGAAAAGTTTTGTCCACCTATTTTAATGCGGACCCAGGGTTTGTTTTAATCAGACACGGTAAGACACGCAGACAGAGAAATGACTGTCATAGTGGGAGGGATCCTTACACTCATAGCTCCCTAGAAGCTGGAGGCATGGCATGCCATGCAGGGCCACACAGAGAAGCGCCAGGGCTGGTCGGCAGGGGACAGAGAGGAAGACCAGGGGCAGGAGCCTTTATTGTGTTTCTGTGGCAAAGGCAAGGCAGGGCAGGCAGACTTAGGATTGGCCAGTTTGGATAGTTTCAGCTGGCTCTCTGGGGCCTACGGGCCATCTGCAGTTCTGTGGCACCTGGCCCTGGGGTAATCAGGGTAGGCATATGGGCTGCTGGTGCGAAAGCCAGCTGGAGGAGGTGCTTAGGAGTACATACAGGCCCTGAACTGGTTGCTTTGCGCCAGAAAGATGCACTCCTGGATGAGTCCTTCAGTATCTCTAAGAATTGGCTAATCCTGTAGGGAAATCCTCTGCCTGGTCAGGGAGGCCCCAGATGCCAGACCATCAAGGATACAGAAAATAGAATTAATACACATCCCATGGCCTAAATCATAGGTATCTGAGTTGGCTTTGTCAGTGGTTGGGAAATTCTGTCCACCCTCTCACTGTTTTAAAATCCCTCTTATTTCTCTGGGGGCATAACTTTGAACATTGTAATTCTTGCTTTACTTATTTTACTTATACTTCCAAAAGAAGGACTGCTGAGTTCATGTTTAAAGAACCAGTTTGTGAGTGTGTGTGTATGAGTGTGTGTGTGCATGTGTGTGGTTACATATGTGCGTTCATGGAGGGGATGGTTAGGACGTATTAGAATTAGGAGCACATGTTTCTCATTACGTGACCTTTAACATCATTTACTTTTAGTTCAAAGGCTTTTCCCCTCAGACTCCTAATATTTACTATTTGAAACTGTCTAATCACATCTTATCACACTATGAGTCAATGTTTCCAAGGTCCTCTTCCATCAGCAATAGGTGCTGATTGGTGAGCCAAGAAGGCATATAGATGGCCCACCCAGCATGTTACCACTGTTGAGGACAGTGTGGGTTCACATCACCTCGGGTGTTAGAGCAAACTGATGTCCATCTCCATCTGGTCCTGAAAGATGGGGCAGTCCCTACTCTCCCAGATTCCCAAAAGGTAGCTGGTAGCAAGAAGGGTGACCTCAGCAAGGCTTGTAAGGGGTAGAAAGGCATGGATTCTCCTCTGCTCCTGCTCTCAGGGAACGGGATCAAGGAAGCAGAAGTGAGGGGGTGACTCCCAGGGACACAAGCCAGCCCACGTGCTCCATCTCCTCTTCCTCGTGGCCTGGGTGGTCTGACCTCTCCTCTCACTCTTCTGCAAAATATACCATACTTAATTGTCTTGGTCTCAGAATGAAACTGAAGATGAATCAAAATTATCCATTTTGGAATACTCTGTCCCTGGGGCTCACCATTCATTTTGATGTGCAAATATATGAGGCTTCTGAGAATTAATTTTTTTAATTGAAATTGGTTTACAAGGTATGAATTTCTGGTGTACAGAATAGTGATTCATATATATATATATAATATATACACATACACACATATACACACACATATATATACATACACATATATATATTCATTTTCAGATTCTTTTCCATTATTATAAGGTATTGAATTACAAAATATTGAATTTTCCACTATTACAAGGTATTGAATATAGTTCCCTGTGCTTTACAGTAAGGAACTTGTTGTTTACCTATTTTATATACAGTAGTTAGTATCTACAAATCTCGAACTCCCAATTCATCCCTTCCTCACCCCTTTCCCCCAATAACCTTAAGTTTGTTTTCTATGTCTGTGAGTTTGTTTCTGTTTTGTAAGTTCATTGTTGTCATTTTTTTAGATTCTACATATAAGTGATATCATAGGATATTTGTCTTTCTCTGTCTGGCTTACTTCACTGAGTATGACAATCTCCAAAGTTAATTCAATTAACTTTGAATTTAAAACCAACCAAATTACCCCAGGATCCGAAGCCTCTTGGTTTTAACCTAATTTAGCAAAATGACTTTAATAGCATTTCTGTGCACTACTCTCACATGTGTGGAAGCAGAGTTCTTGTTCTGGACGAAGGCAGGGGCATAGGTCTTCCATCGGCACACAAGACCAGAAGTGAGTCTCAGGAAGGCCTCAGAAAGGTAAAGCACAGAACCCAACCGGTGAGCAGGCTAATGTGAGTGGAAATCCTTATGGCCTGAGTGAGAGCACATACTAATGAACTTGCCATTCTGTGTAGACAATACTCATTCAAATGCCAGTTTGAATTCTGTTTTCCTGAGGACTACTGCCTTGCTAAAAGAATTCTTCATTATTACAAATATTGATGTAAAAAAGAAAACCTATTCCTAACATCACATGTTTAAGAATTCTTTACCTCTTAAGCACAGGACTTTAAAAAAAAGTATGCTTTCAAATACACCTACTTTTTTTGCTGTGGCATTTAGATCGGATGATTGACTTCCTAGGAAAGTAACATGTTGTCCTTTAGAGAAATTCTGCACTGCATTTCTCACCCCTTGGTCGGAAAGCCAAGGTAGAGTAAGACCCAAGTAGACCATCAGTTTTTAAATGTATTTATTTTTGATGAAGTGTAGTTGATTTACAGCAAAATTGTGTTTAGACCATCATTTTCTGAGAGTGCTGTGACAACAGAAACATTCAGACAGAAGAGAAGCCACAAATGGCTCACTATTTGTTAATTTTGTTTATTTTTTGATGGAAGAGGTAATTTGATTGATTGATTGATTGATTGATCTGAGGAGGTACTGGGGATTGAACCCAGGACCTCGTGCATGGGCTCCACCACTTAAGCTATACCCTCCCCCACTCACCGTTTGTGTCCTGGGACCCTTCTTCACTTGGGTGGGATGTATGTGCTTATCAGAGTAACTTTAGTAAAGGTAACTTATCTTAAAATCCAAACAGCAGTGGAGGAAGGCGAATGGGTTGCTTCTCACTTGAAAGATGTAAATGCATAAAAACAAAGGCAGATGCCCTGGTAGCATTGGGTGCTGGGAGAGGGCAGTTCTGCTGAGCTGAGTCCGATGTAACTTAAGACCCGGAAAGCAAGGCTGATGATCTTTAAGGATGCTGAAGGGCATTTGTGTGATGGACTTGCCCTTCGCCTTCTAAGTGGTTTCAAGACTCCCTGATCACTTGCCATATGCCAAGTGGTGGGGGTGTTAGCCCAGCATTAGGGAGGCTGCAGGAAACACTGGCAGGATGTCAGGGGAGTAATGGGTGTGCAGGTGTACGTGGGTATGCCTGTGTGTGTGTGTGTGTGTGTGTGTGTTTGTGTGTGTGTGTGTACATGGACATGTGTTCCTGTGTGCATACGTATGCATGTGCACCACGTGTGTGT